AACAGACCCTTTGGTCCAACTCATCCATGCTGACCTGACGTTCTAAACAGATTTACCCATTTGCCAGCATTTGGTCCATATCCCTCTAAATCCTTCCTATTCATATATCCATCCAGATGCCATTTAAAAATTGTACCACTTCCTCTGGCAGCTCATTCCATACATACCTCACACTCTGCATGAAAAAGTTGCCCCTCAGGTCCCTTTTAAATCTTTCCCCTCTCACCTTAAACCTATGCCCTCTAGTTTTGGGACTCCACCGCCTTAGTAAAAAGGACCTTCACTATTCAGGCCACCCCTCATGATTTTATAAACCTCTAAAGGTCACCCCTCAGCTTCCAATGCTCCAGGGAAAATAGTCCCAGCCTATTCAGCCTCTCGCTATAGTTCAAACCCTCCAATCTGGGCAACATCCTTGTAAATCTTTTCTGCACCCTGTCTAGTTTCACAGCATCCTTCCTATAGCAAAGAGACCAGAACTTAACGCAGTATCCAAAAGTGGCCTCATCAATGTCCTGTACAGCTGCAACATAATATCCCAACTCCTATACTCAATGCACTGACCAATGAAGGTAAGCATACCAAACACCTTCCTCACCACCCTATCTACCTGCAACTCCACTTTCAAGCAATTATACACCTGCACCCCTAGGTCCTGTTGTTCGACAACACTCCCCAGTGCCCCACCACTGTGCAAGTCCTGCCCTGGCTTGCCTTACCAAAAAATGCAACATCTCATATTTACCTAAATTAAACTCCATCTACCACTCCTTGGCCCATTGGTTCATCTGATCAAGATCCCGTTGAACTCAGAGATAAACTTTTTCACTCTCCACTACACCATCTATTTTGGTGTCATCTACAAATTTACTAACCACACCTCCTATATTCACATCCAAATCATTAATATGGCAGAAGGGAGATACTCATTTCCTGGCATCAGCTATCTCCACTCCAGCAACAGACTGTTAGCTCAGTTTGTTGGATGCCGTTTGTAATGATTCCATTCCTGTACTGGCTGAGGTCACAATGATGGTCCTGCCTTTTTTTCTCAGGTTAAAAGAATAGAGAGAGCTTTATTTTGTATCTAACCCTGTCCTGGGAGTATTTGATAGAGACAGTGTCGAGGGAGCTTTACATTCAGTTTAAAAGAAAGTGTTTTATTTTCAGTTTAAATGACTAGAAGCTACATGAATTTACACACAGGACCCTATCCTTTGCAGAAAAAAGGAATAATCCACCCATTGTATGTTTCTCACTGACCACTGGGATCTGGAATGTGCTAATCCCTGCTGCATAGCAATGCCCTGACCAATCAGGACCATCCTGCCTGGTCTGAGTTTCGCAATTAAGATTGACAGTTAAAGGGTCCAGACCCGAAATGTCAGCTTTCCTGCTCCTCTGATGCTGCCTGGCCTGCTGTGTTCCTCCAGTTCCACACCTTGTTATCTAAGATTGACAGTTAACAGTTTCTGTTGCATTGCCATACCAACCAATCAGGAGCCACTATTCATGCTGTATAAATTGGTGTTCCCTTTCTCGGTTTGTTTTCTTGCTTCTAGTCCTGAGCAGCACAGGAGCTGAGACTTCATGCCTCCCAGTTAAGTTCTGCATGACTCACGCATGTGTTTGCACAACCAGTTCTAATGAGAAGGCCATCCTGACTCAAAACATTAACTCTGATTCCATCCACAGATGCAGTCTGTACTTCTGAGTAATTCACCTTTTTTTTTCTAATTTAACACACAATGTTCCTTTATCTTCCTAATTTATTCAAATTTGGTTTAGCTTGCCAAATCACAGAACTCCTATAGTACAGAAGGCCATTTGGCCCATCGAGTTTCACCAACCCTCCTGAGAGCATCCCACCCAAGCCCACCCCATACCCCATCCCTGTAACCCTGCATTTCCCTTGGCTAATCCACCATATAAGTAATTTGGATGTGAATAAAGGAGGTATGGTTAGTAAGTTTGCAGATGACACTAAAACAGGTTGTGTAGTGGACAGTGAAGAAGTTTATCTCAGAGTACAACAGGACCTTGACCAGATGGGCCGAGGAGTGGGAGAGGAAGTTTACTTTAATAAATGTACATTGTTGGACACGACGGGGCCACTCAGCATGGCCAATCTTTGGACTGTGGGAGGAAACCGGAGCACCTGCAGGAAAACCACACAGACACGGGGAGAATGTGCAAACTCCAGACAGTCGCTTGAGGCTGGAATCGAACCTGGGTCCCTGGTGCTGTGAGGCAGCAGTGCTAACCACTTGTAACCATTGACAATACATGAGCTCAGTCTGAATGAGCAATATACATTGAGTTTATTTGGTTCAGATCATTCTGTTAGCTGCAACCTATACATTGTTTCAGAAGTTGATAGCTGAACACACTATCCAGTTAATCACAGTACAGCACAGAAAGAGGCCATTGGTCCACGGTGTTTGTGCCAGGCAAATAAACCAGCTGCCCTTTCTAACCCAGCATCTGGTCAGTGGCCTTGTGGATGTCAGCGCTCTGGCTACAGATCCTGGTCCCTTCTCACCGAGCTCAGGGATTTATTCCAAATCACCCCCAAAATAGGCAGCAAATTCCTGGCACCCACCTGTGTCCAGGTGAGAATGCTTTTCCTCACCTCCCCTCTAATCCTTCCAACCAATCACCTTACATCAGTGAATGGGCTTTCCAACACTCGCAGCGTAACTCATCCTCCACAGAGGCTAAAACAATGAAACTCCCCTCCTCTGGAGCACTTTTTAAAAAAAAGTCTAAATCTAAATGCTAGCTCCCCGCTGGTGTATCTCACTCTCTCCTGGCAAGCACAGAAGTACCTTCTCTTTAATTAAGGCTCAGCTTGAGAACTGCAACACAACAAGCTCCCGCCACACTGTCCCCATCAAAAGCTCCCAGAACAGATAAAGTGCAGGGTTAAATACAGAGCAATTTCCCTCTCTATACTGTCCCCATCAAATAGCTGCAGGACAGCACAGGGTTAGATATAGAGGAAAGCTCCCTCTACACAGTTTAACTCTAAAGTGATTACTGACATTTACCATCAAGCTCCATTCACTTCATTTCTCTTCCCATGATTTAATCACTATTCATTGGTTTCTCCCACAGCTTTCTCTAATCTTCAACATTTAGTTACTTTTGTTAAGTGAAATAAGCAAAACTGTGTGATGTCATTGGACATCCCTGAAACCAGAACTCTATAATCCAGCACACAAATAATTCAACATCTCTCACTGTGCAAACAAAAAAATCAACTTGTCTGATGATTTTCAGGCACCGAGCTGACTGATTATTCAGACAATTTGCTGATAGGCCATGCATTAGCTAAAATGGACTCTACACTTTATTACCTATGCCTCTCTTTTGCTCCCTCCCAAGATCAAATCTTAAACTCACTTAGAGAATCACGATAAAACATGACAATTGTTTGTCTAATGCACACCCCAAGGCTTGTCAGAGACTAAAGCAGTCAGTCTGTACGCACTGGACAGATATAGCAGGTGACCACGGGCTGATAACATTTGATCTACTCAAATACCACACAACAATGATCTTAATCTTACGACTATCTCCCAGCATTAATATCCAATCATGTTCTCTTGACAATCAGTCGCATTGCCATTGAGAAATGGCCTACAACCAACAGTTTTGGCTTTCCCATGTACCAAGTCACTTTAGCAGCTAAAAGGCTGGGAATTTTACAGGTCAGTTAAAGTTTCTTCATGTTTTCACCAGCTACAAGTCAGCATGCAGGGGACAGTCAGTGTGTGACAGATACAAAGTAAAGCTCCCTCCACACTGTCCCCATCAAACACTCTCAGGACTGCGCCGAACCCCCTGATGTTACTCCAGTCCTGAGAGAGTGTTTGACAGGGTCAGTGTGGAGGGAGCTTTACTCTGTATCAAACCCAATGCTGTCCCAGAGTAAAGCTCCCTCCACACTGTCCCCATCAAACACTCCCAGGACAGGGACATTACGGGGTTTAGATACAGAGTAAAGCTTCCTCTACTCTTTTCAACTAAAATTAAAGCTCCCTCCACACTGTCCCCTTCAAAAGCTCCCAGAACAGATATTGTACATGGTTAAATACAGAGCAATTTCCCTCTCTATATTGTCCCCATCAAATAGCTGCAGGACAGCACAGGGTTAGATATAGAGGAAAGCTCCCTCTACACAGTTTAACTCTGCAGTGATTACTGACATTTACCATCAAGCTCCATTCACCTCATTTCTCTTCCCATGATTTAATCACTATTCATTGGCGTCTCCCACAGCTTTCTCTAATCTTCAAACATTTAGTTACTTTTGTTAAGTGAAATAAGCAAAATCGTGTGATGTCAGTTGTTTCAATATTTGGTGTGTATTTGAGCAGAAGAACTCAAGATATTGTCACTGTTGTACCTTTGGAATGTGACTGTCGGTTTTCGCACAGCAAGATCCCACAAACAGCAACACGGGAATGACGTGCAATGACCTGTTTCAGTGACGTTGGCCGAGGTCGAGCTAATTACCCAGACCCACCACAGACAACATCCCCAGCACTTCTCACCGATTCCCTGACCAACATCGCTGTGGGGGGGGAAAAAAAAATCAATTATCTGGTCACTGCTGTCTGTGGGATCTTCCTGTGCACTAACTGGGTCCGGGTTTCCTCCGTTACGACAGTCAGCACATTTGCAAAATCATCGGCCACGGAGCAACTCCTGATGCCCTGAAGTTGCGAAAGGTGCTATGCGAATGCAGGACCTTGATGATGGCTTGGTGGGCTGAGGGGGGTGGGGGGCTGAACTCCCTTTCCCCTCAGCCTCCATTGAGTTGACTCATGCGCAGCGTGAGAAACACACAGAAACACAGAAAACTAGGAGGAGTAGGCCATTCAGCCCTTGCAGCCTGCTCCACCGTTCAATATGATCATGGCTGATCATCCAACTCAAGCTCCTGTTCCTGCTTTCTCCCCACAACCTTCGGTTCCTGAAGACGTCCACATTACCTTTCCTTTGGCAGACATCATTTGCTGTTATCCAGATCCGATACTGAACCCAAACAACCTACAGAGGCAACAAAGAGAATAAGGAATTATTCATGGCCGTGATAAAGGCTGAGAGAGTTACACTGATCCATCGCTATGGGTATTTCTCTACAGTCTATTGTGAGCCACATCACTAATTGGCATTGTATATCATTTCTCATATAAATATGATCAGGCAAAACAACAGAAGCATTGTGCTTCCTCAAACATCTCGTGTGACTGCTCATTTGAAACGTTAATTTAATCACCTTTCCTAAACTGATTACGATAATTAAATATACAACAAGCTCCAGGCAGCAGGAGGGTTTGAACAGTCACATTGGTCTATTGATTTCAGACTATCATTCGAACCACTGCATTGGGAAGGCGAGAGATAGTAGGAACTCCCAATGATGCCGCTTGGCCTGCTGTGTTCATCCCTATGATGCTGCTTGGCCTGCTGCGTTCATCCAGCTCTGCACCTTGTTGTCTTGCATTAGGAAGGCACCTGGTTCTTGTTGTAGCAAAGCACATTCTCAGGAGTGATGACTCATGCAGCATAAAACTGCAGTAGCAGGCAGGAAATGTGTGAGAATAACTAAAATAAACCAAAGAACTGTGGGACAACAAGGTGCAGGGCTGGATGAACACAGCAGGCCAAGCAGCATCATAGGAGCAGAGAGGCTGACGTTTCGGGCCTGGAC